ATTCCCAAGTATTTTGTTTAAGCCTACAATTCATCACTGAGTTTTAGTCCAATATATCCAATTGCCTGTGTAACACAGTGTCCTGATTTTCTTCAGTGACACTTAAATTTGATAAATCCAAAATCCAAATTGTTATTTCCCTCAAATCTCATCTTTTTATATTTCCCCAATCAGCAAGTGCACAGCTATCATTTGGATGTATGGGCCTAGAAATGTGGGTGTCATCCTTTTACCTATCTCTCCCCAATCCTCATATATAACTTATCATCATTATTTCCTAAATCACTTGAATATGCTTATTTCTACCAATATCCAATGTGACCCTCTGGTCCAAGGAGGAGCATCATCTCTTGCCTGGACTACAGCAATAGCCTGCTAACTGATTTCTACATTTACCCATTTGTGTGCTTTTAATCTAATCTCCATCATTCTATTTTCCCCAAATATAAATCTTCTTATGCAACCCCCTGCTTAAAATATTTTAGTACATTCCTATTCTTTTAAAGATAACAGTAGGCTCTAATTCGTTTATTTTTATTAGTACATGTTTGCAGTAAATGATGATTATATTTACTGTTGGAAATAGGTACATGTACATATCACATCTTAATTCTTTTTCTTTTCAACTCCTTCCCTTCTCTTTCATTTCTTCCATTTCTAGGTCTCCTTCCTTTTTTGCAAAAATTTGCCTCCCTGTTTCCTATTAATTTTCACTTTGCTTTGTAAGTTATGTATATATTGAGTTTCTCATATAAGAAAAATTATGCAATATTTAGGCTTGTGTGTCTAATTTAATATTATAGCTTCAAGGTGCATCCATTTTCCTACAAATGACTCAAGTTTCTCCTTCTTTATGGCAGAGCAGTATGTTATTATGTATAAGCACCACATTTTATCTATACATCTATTGATGGATATATAGGCCACTTTCAAAATTTAGCTATTATGGGGCCAGGGCTTCAGCTTAGTGGTTCTGCTACTTTCCTCACAAGTGCAAGGTCCCGAGTTTGATCTCCGGTACCAAAAAATAAATAAATAAATAAATAATTAAAGATTTAGCTATTTTGAGTTATGCTGAAGTACTTCAAGCCAAAACAGATGAGAGGCAAAGGAGATAACTAAGTATCGGTTAAAATAATAACGCAGCAGTAAGAAGTAACAATTAAAAACATATATGCCCCAGACAACATGCACCAAACTTCATAAACACTACTGAACATGAAAGATCAGATAAATATCAATACAATGATACTAGGTGACCCCAATACCCCACTGTCACAAATAGATCAACTAGACAAAAGAAATGCCACATGCAACTGAACAAAACATTTGAATAAATGAACTTAATAGATATCTACCAAGGGTTGCTCCCAACAACAGAATACAGCACTTCAAAACTGACAACATGCTGGCCCATAAAGCATGCTTAAGTAAATGCAAAGGAACTGAAAGAATCTGACACATTATCATATCATAGTGCAATGAAACTAGAACTCAGTGGCACAGGAAACCACAGAAATTAAGCAAATACATGGAAATCCAATAATATACTCTTGAATGATCAGTAGGTCACAGAAGAAATCAAAGAAGAAATTGGATAGATCATAAAATCAAAGAATATTAGCAGTGCAACCTATCAGAATATGTGGCACATAATGAAAGCAGCCTTCAGATGAAAGTTTATAGCTGTGAATGCCCACATTAGAAAACAGAGCTAAGCCGGATGTGGTGGTGCACGCCTGTAATCCCAGCACTTGGAAGGCTGAGGCAGGAGGATCGCTGTGAGTTTGAGACTAGCCTGGGCTCATAGTGAGTTCTGGGGCAGTCTTAAATACATAGTGAGACCCTGTCTCAAAAGAACCCCCCAAAAAGAAAACAGAGCTAATGATGACCTACTGATACACTTTAATGTCCCAGAAAAACAAGAGCAATTCACATACAAAGCTAATACAATGAAGGAAATTATAAAGATTAGAGCAGCAATTAATGAAATTGTGACTAAAACAATACAAAAAGTCAATTAGTCAAAGAGCTGGTTTGTTGAAAGAGTAAACCTAACAGACAAACTTCTAGCCAATCTTACCAAAAAAAAAGAAAGGACCCAAATCAATTCAACTACAAATTAACTAGATGAAATTACAACAAAAACTGCAGAAATCCAAAGGATTATACATATCTACAATGAAAACCTGTACTCTAATAAGTTAGCAAATCCACAAGAAATGGATAATTCCAAGATGCATATGAATTGCTAACAATGAACCATATATATATATGCTGAAGGACCAGGGATGTGGCTCATTGGCACCTCACCTGCCTGGTAAGCACAAGGTCCTGAGTATGATTCTTGGTGCTAGAAAAAAAAGTTGAATAATCCAACAAATAAATGTACATCACATAGACAGATCATCTCAATAGACACAGAAAAAGTTCTTGAAATAACATTCATTCATAACAAAAATTTCTGATGAAAATAAATATAGAAGAACCTCATGTCACTGATAAAAGCTATTTATGGCAAATCTACTGACAAAATCAGATTAAATGATAAAGTTGAAAATTTTTCTTCTAAATTAGGAACAAGACGAGAATGTTCCTTATCACCACTCCTGAATAATATAGTGATCAAACATTAACTAGAGCAATCAGGCAAGAGAAAGAAATAAAAGGGATATGTATAGGAAAGGAAGAATTCCAATTAGCATTATGTGAAGATAACATGATTCACATCATATAAGACATAAAAATTCCACCATAAAACCCTAGAATTAATAAATGAATTCAGTAATGTAACAAGATACAAAATTAACACACAAAAACCAATAACATTCCTGTACACCAATAATGAACTCACTAAAAAAAGAAATTAGGAAAACAATACCATTCAAAATAATACCAAGAAAAAGTAAATATGTAAGAATTAATCTAAACAAGGAAGTGAAAAAAAAAAGTTTAAAAAAAAAAGGGCCGGGGATTTAGCTCAGTGGATCGGTGGCCTGCCTTGCAAGCGCAAGGACCAGAGTTCAGTCCCCAGTACCCCCCAAAAAAAAAAGTTAAAAAAAGGAAGTGAAAGACTTCTACAATTAACATTACAGTAATCTGAAAAAGGTAATCAAAGAGGACATCAGAAAATGGAAAGATATCATCTGTTCCTGGATAGGCAGACCAAAATTGTCAAAATAGTGATATTTCAAAAACTACTACACACATTTAATGCAATCTATATCAAAATACCAACAGCATTCACAGATCTAGAGAAAACAACTCCAAAATTAAATGGAAAATAGGAACAATCAGAATAGCAAAAGCAATCCTAGGCAATAAGTGCAAAGTAGAAGGCATCAAAATTTTGGATTTCATGTTATATTACAAAGCTAAAATGATAAAAACAGCACGAAAACAGACAGGCGGAACAATGGGAAGAAAATAGAGAATGAAGAAACAAATCCAGCCACCTGATCTTTAGAAAAGGGGTAAAAACATGCTGGAGGAAAGATAGATAAATGGTGCTGGGAAAACTGGCTCTCCTCATATAGTAGAATGAATCTAGACCCACCTTTCTCACCATGCACAAAACTAAAATCAAAATGGATTAAATATCTAAATGTTAAAACAGAAATATTTAATCTGCTTGAAGATAAAACAGGTGAAAATTTTGAAAACATAAGCATATGCAAGGACTTTCTCAACAGAATCCACATGGTAAAAGGAATAACATCAAGAATCAACAAATGGGCTCATAACAAATTGAAATGCTTCTGTACAGAAAAGGAAACAACAGAATGAAGAGAAAACCTAATGACTAGGAAAACATTTTTTGCCAACCACGCCTCAGACAGAGGATTAATATCTGGAATATATAAAGAACTCAAAAAAATTAGACCGCAGCAATACTCAATCAAAAATGGGCAACTTAAATAAGACACTTCTCAGTAGAAGTATAAATGCCTGGTAAATACATGAAAAACTTGTTTAACATCTCGGACCATTAGAGAAAGACAAATAAAAACTACACTGAGATTCTGTCTTACTCTAGAAAGAATGGCTATCCACAATAAAAAAAACAATAACAAATGCTGATGAGGCTTCATGGAAAGGGGAAGTCTACTGCACTGCTGGTGGGAATGTAAACTACTAAAAACATTATCGAAATCAATATGGAGATTCCTAAAAAACCTAGAGACCCAGCCATTTTATTCATTGGTAGCTTCTCAAAAGACAAAGTCATCATAGATACCTGGGAATAGAGAGAGGGGGAAGAGGCCCCAGAAATAATATTCTTATGAGCCAGAAACACTTAGGTTCAAAATACTAGCTGTGCTTATGGATATTACATAATGGAAGAAGGGATCACCTCAGTTTCCTCACCTGTGAATGAGTATTGTATCAACTATGGTGCACAGTTATTGTGAGTAAAAGCAATGACACTCTCAGTTTAAGCAATTTAGCACACTGCCTGGCACAGAATAAACCTTTCAATAGCAGTTCATTTCTTATTTGGTAGATGCAGAAGAAATACTATTGGAAAGGGCAGTGGTTTTTATTTCCTTCATATGGATTAGGGCATGATATATAATCAATTTCACTCTCTCTCTATTTCATACATTATTTTTGTCCAAATACAATATGATGCTTCAAAATGATATTCTCCATTATTATGTTAAAAATCATGCATTGTGACAAATCATTTTACTAGTGAACCTATCATGCCATCAACTTTATGCAAAATGGCAAAACTTCAATAATTGAGGGCATTCTTTTTTAAATAATACAATTTTTTAAAAGTCCCTTTTCAAAAACAATTTATTTGTATTCTTACCTTGGTTAAATTTGGATATTTTAAAAGTCTTTTAATGCATCCTCATCTTTGACACATCACTTTTTTTTTTAATTTGAGAATCCTATCCAACTTACTGAAACTGCAACAACACTTAACTTCAATATCTATAAAAAACTTCATCAACTATGAAAACAATGGTCCCAATTTAAATTAAGCATACCTGAGGTAGAATTTCAAGGAGCTGGTGATTGTCTTAATGTCCCAGTCACTATTATGAAAATCAACATCTCCTGGGCATTTGGGATCTATTTGAGAAAAGTAAACAAAAAGAAAATTTAATATTGTAGCAGGCCTTATTTTAACCCCTTTAAAATTAAGCACATTAATTAAAAGACAGTTACTCAAACAAGATTTCTAGAGATAAAAATCTTAAAAAGTAGTCTTTTTCAGACCCACTTCTAAAATGGGCATCTGAAATGAACAGACATTTCTCAGACAAAGAAATAAAAGCAGCAAGTAAATATTTGAAAAAATGCTCCACATCACTGGTCATTTGAGAGATGCAGATGAAAACAACACTGAGATTTCACCTCACCCCACAAAGACCAGTTGCTATCAAGAAATCACACAACAACAAATGTTGGAGTGGTTGTGGGGAGAAAGGAACCCTTCTCCATTGTTGGTGGGAGTGCAGACTGGTGCAACCACTATGGAAATCAATATGGAGATACCTCAAAGAGCTAGGATTAGAGGTTCCATTTGACCCAGCCATCCCTCTGCTGGGTATCTCTCCAAAAGAATTAAAACAATCATACCACAGTGATATATGTGCACCCATGTTTATAGCAGCACAGTTTGTAATAGCTAAAATTTGGAAACAGCCCATCGGGCTATCAGGTGGAACCTGGATAAAGAAGATGTGGTTTTTCTATAAAATGGAATACCACTCAGCCATAAAGAATGAGAAAGTAGATTCATTCTTAGGTAAATGGGTACATTTTGAGGATATACTCCTGAGTGAAATAAATAAGTCACACGTGTGTAAATACCAAATAGTTTCTCTGGTGTGAATAAACTGTAATAGTACATAAGATCCTAATGAGATAATTGACAATTTGAAATAAGTAGAACAGGGCTTAAGGTGTAGGGAAAATGGGAAGTGTAGGAGAAAGGTAATAAGGGAAAGGAAAAAAAATAGAAGAAAATGTGAAAATGGAAATAAAGTGTTTGTAAATGGGCAGGGGAGAAGGGGGTGAAAGAAGGGCAGGGACAAGGGGAAAAATGAGAACCAAGACCTGGCATATAAAGGTACAAGATCCCAGGAAAGAATGTAACTGCACTGTTTACCTAGAATGTACCAATAAATTCAATTTAATTTTTTTTTTTAAAAAGTAGTCTTTTTCAGCATCTAAGAAGCTTGGAATTCATCACTTCCACTGAAACTATAACAAAAAGGCCAAACTGAAAATTAATTTTTCTTAGACTCATTAGAGAAGAGAAGTCATATGGCAAGTTGCTGGCCCCCAAAACTGTAGGGACAAACACAAGCAGATACAGAGAATCAAAACTTACTAGAACAGAAGCAGCCCAGGAACAGGAATCTTCTCCTTGGAAAACACTATGAGGAGGGCTGAGGATTTAGTTTAGTGGTTCTGCCATCTGCCTCACAAGTGCAAGAAGAGTTTGATCCCCGGTACCAAAAACAAAACCCCCAAAAATCAAAACACTATTAGCATAAGAAAGCCTAATTTGCAACTAATAAATACTAGAAGCTTACTATATATGAATTTGAGTGCTAAAACTATTGAGGGGCACCATTTTAGGAAGCACTGCACAGTTTTGTGAGTTTTACCTCAAAGAACCCTATCAGATTCTTACAATAAAGATCAGAGAAAAATCCCCTCATGCTTTCATGCTTCTGGCAGGGATAAAAGAAAAGCAGCCATTTCTTTTAAGTATTCTCAGAGCCTTCTATCCTTAAGTTCCCTCAAGTAAATATTTTTATAAGATCCACTGCAGTTTTATCAAAACCTGACTAACTTGAGTGAAGGGAAACATTCAATTCAGATCTAGTCTGTCTTCCTATTTCTCCTAAGGGGGAAAGAACAAATCAAAACAAAAAGCAGGTGAGAAAGGCCCAGGCCAAGAGCACAGCTTATGAAAAGAGACATAATCATAGGCCTACACAACATTTCCCCACCCATGACACCTTACTAACATATCACTGGAGCTCCTGTGTAACAGGAAAATATAACTAAAACCTGTATCTCTCAGATGGCATATATGAAAGCCATATGAAAAATCAAATACAATAGAAGAGATAAAAATAAGAACACAAGCCTCTGTCATCTACAGCTACAACAGAATAAACATAGGCTAACGCTCAATAAATGTGAAAGCTCAACCCTAAATGCCTATATACTTCAGTTCATTTTACCCGTTACATTATGTATAACTTGCAACAAAAAAATTAAAAGGCACAAAACACAGTTTGAAGAGGTACATCAAATATCAGAACCTGATCAGAGATGTTAGAATTATTAGTCCAACAATTTAAAACAATTTTGATTAATATGCTAAGGGCTATAATAGTGTTGACAACATGAAAAGGGAAATCAATATTATAGGAGAGAGATTGAAATTTTAAGAAAGATTAAAAGAAAACATTGGAAATCAAAAACACCATGACAGAAAGAATGTACTTTCAGGGCTCATCAACAGACTGGACATAGATGAGGAAGCCTCACTGAGCTTGAAGAAATGTTGATAGACACTCTCAAACTGGAATGCAAAGAGAAAAGGAATGAAAAAAAGACACAAGAACATATAAACACTGAGGGTCACTTATGAAAGGTGTAATATATGTGTGATGGAATGCCCGAAGGAGATGAAAGATAAAAGGATGAAAGAAAATATTTGAAGTAATAATGACTAAAATTTTCAAAAAATAGTGATATATACCAAACCACAGAACCAGGAGGCTCGGAGACCTTCAAGCAGGATATATACCTGAGAAATCTACACTGAAGCATATAATATTCGAATTTTTAAAAAAATTAAGGACAGAGGGGAAAAAATCTTCAAAGAAGTGAGAAGACAAAAATGCTTTATAGAAGAGCAAGGATAAGAATCACATTGCATTTCTCTAGAGCACTGGTGGCATGCCTCAACCGGCTATTATCATTGAAAGCTTGAAAAGGTTCACCATCACTGCTCCAGAGCAACCATCCAGGCAAGAAGAGAGTGAAATGAAGTATTTAAAGGGTTAAAAGAAGGAAGACCAAATAAAGATGACTTTTAAACTTACAATCTTCCCTGACTGAAAGTGAACAGTTTGAGTGGAAATATAGGCATATGCCTCAGATCTTCTTTCTAGTATAGGAAAGAATGAGCTGGAGAAAAACTTTGGCTCTCAGCTTCTGCAAAAGAAAGAAGGAAGTGGAATACACATCTAATATTGTATCCTCTCCAGCTATATCACATGGGACTGGCTTATGTCCCATATCTTTCAAGGCATAAAAATAACATGATACTAATTTCTTAGGGAGCATTACAAATAATGACAAGAGAATAAGAACAGACTAAAGACATCTAGAATCTCTGGCCAGGTTGATTGAGGAGGAACACCTACTAAAGTTCAATCTAACAAGACTAGGAGAAATGGCTCTTTTTATCTAGTGTACAGAAATCAACACAAAGTCAAGGAAAATGTAGAAACAGAAAAGTGTGTATGAAATAAAAGCAGAAGATAAATTTCCAGAAATTGACCTAATAAAATGGAGATATATGATTTCCTAGACAGAAATTTTAAAAGTTAGTCAGAAAGGTGCTAACATAAAGAAAATAACCTGAAGATTTCACCGAGACAGAAAATATTTTAAAATATCAAACAGAAATCATCAAGCTAAAGAATAATAACTACATTCAAAAATTCCATAGAGTGGTTCAACAGCAGAAAAGATCAAGCCAAATAAAGGATTAGCAAAGTTAAAGACAGGTTGTTGGAAATCCTAACAGTCTAAATAGCAACATAAGAGAAAAAAAAAACATTGAACAAGAGTGAAAATGGCCTAAAGGACTTATGAGACACCATCAAGCAGAAAAATCATATTAAAATACCATAAACCAAAGAGATAGAAAAGAATAAAAAATACATTGAAAGAAATGATGGCAGAAAATTCTACAAGTCAGAGGAAAAAGTAGAAATCCAGATCCAGGAAGTACAACAGACATCTCAGAGGCAATCCACACATAGCCACACCCAGACACATTATGAACAAATTATCAAAGTTGTTAAAGAAAGAATATTGAAAACTGCAAAGGGAATGCAAAAAGGACTTGTTAGATACAAGGAGACCCGAATAATATTATTGGTAGATTTTTGACAGAAATCTGGAAGGCCAGGTTGGAATAAGATGATAGATTCAAAAAGCTATTTAAAAAATACACCTTGTCAAGATTTAACTATGACAAACTCTGGGGCTATGAACATGGGTGTGCATATATTGCTGAGCTATGATGCTTTTAATTCTTTTGGGAAGAAACCAAGAAGGGGATTGGCTCTAATTTTGGTTTTTTGAGGAATCTCCACAATGATTCCCACAGTGGTTCTAAGAGTCTACCCTCCCACCAACAGTGGAGAAGGGTTCCCTTTTCCCCACAGCCCTACCAACATTTGTTATTGGTTGATTTCTTGATAATTGTCATTCTCTCTGGGGTGAGATGGAATCTCAGTCAAATTCCCATCAAGCAATGAATGGATAGCAAAGATGTAATATTTTTACATAATGGAATACTACTCAGACATTTTTAGATAAATGGTGCACCTTGAGACCATAATCTTAAGTGACACAAATTGAACATACTTGTGTAAACACTGCACTGTTTCTCTGGTGCCAGAAACTGAAAGCATAAATAAGGACCAAAATATATTCTAGATATTATGAAATAGGAAGAAAATGCTCAATGGGAAGGGGAACTAGGGAGGACAGAGAAGAAAAGGAAGGAAGGGAAAAGAAAAGAAGGAAAAAACAAAAATGAAGCTTTTGTAAATGAGGAGGGGAAAAGGAGCTGAAGGGTGGGTAACGGAATGGGGAGAAAAGAGGAATTAAGATATACAAGATATACAGGTACAAATTCTCTATGATGAATGTGATCATTATGTATATCAGAAATATACCAATAATCTTAATTAATAAAAATAAAGTAGTGATAAACAATACACTTGCCAACCAAGAATAGTATACCCAGCAATTCTGAAGGAATTTGTCACTTAGACTTGTTGTATAAGAAATGATAAAAGAAG